CAACAATAAATTGTAGCTACTAAAAGATATTGTGTTTGTATCCATAGATATATCTTATTCCTCTGTACCACAGAGCTCCATCATTGTCCACAGCCTATTAAAACACATCAAAGAGTCACACTGTTGTACTGGGTGACATTTTCATTCATTACCATGAACACACACTGTAGTTTATTTTGACCCAGTCCCACAGAAATTGTCCTGCAGTGGTAAATACACACTATTTACTGTAAGCACTAATTGTGTATTGATACACAACAAATGCACTATTTCTTCCTGTTTCAGCAAGTTTGCTAAAAATTACTGTAGTGATCAGCTGTTATAGAAAATGATTTAGTCTTTGCATTTTAAGTACTCATATGGGACACCTATTTTTCTATTTTTTTTTTTTACCTACTTTTCCCCCCTTCTAGTTCTAGCTCTTCTAGTCTTAGTTTATCTGCTCTTCTGTGGATTTCACTCTTTTTTAATATTTTGTTGTTGGACGTTTCATTCTTTTTCATTCTCTGCGCTTGTACTTGATCAAATATATTTAATTATTATGCTGATTTCTAAAAATCTTTGTTGTAATATGCATGTGGAGCACTATGTAACTATTTTAAAAAAGTGTTGATTGGTAATTATTGTATTCTTATCAGTAAGAACAAATGAGCTTGTGACTGAAGAGCCACAGTCTGACAGTCCTGAGACACTAACAGATCGCTGGTTTTGGTCTTTTCTTAGGATTTGATGAAATTATTAAGCTATTTAATGTAACCAAACAACTTGCAAGTTGACCACATTTAATATCATGCAGTAATTATAACTGTAACAGTTTCAAGATATTATTTACATTCTCAACTCCAGTCAACTTTATCTATATAGCAATTTTCATACAAAAAAGCCCGATAAAAAGGTAGGACCTTAAGTTACCTTTTTTTTAAAAATACTGAGATAGTTTGCCATTCTAATATCCAGAGGCAGCGAGACCCACAATTTAGGGGCATAAAAACAGAAAGCACTCTCAGCGGTACTTTTATGGGAGACATAAGGAACATTTAAAAGTAAAGCAGTGGAGGACCCCAGTGATCTGGTTAGAACATAAAATGAAAGGAAATCTCTGATGTATGCAGGACCAAGGTCATTCAAAGCTTTATAAACAAGTAACAGAACTTAAAAATCAATTCTAAACGATACATGTAACCAGTGTAGTGACTTTAGCAGTGGGGCACTGTGAAATTGTGGTAATGTTTTTTTTTTTTTTTTTTAAAGACATTTTGGATAATGCAGTGAAAAAGGAATTATAATAGTCTAAACAGCTGGTAATGAAAGTGTGAGTGACTATTTCAGGATCTTTTTCGTTTTTAAAAAAGGTTTGACTTTAGTGATGTTCCTGAGATGAAAAAAGGATGTTTTAATGCCCTTGTTAAAATGAGTAGTAAAATATAAATCTGAGTCTAAAACCACTCCCAAGGTTGTAGTAATTTAAAAAAATGTGCTTACTAAAGCCGTCAAACATAGAGTGCAGTTTTTCTCTTGCTGTTTTGTGTCCAATTATTAGAATCTCAGTTTTGTCCTCATAGTTTTAAAAACTTTTAACCCATCCATTCATGAAGGCAGGCAATGAGAGCATGCAGTGCATTTTGGGCATTTGGTGTCACAGAGATGTACAATTGTATGTCATCAGCATAATAATGGTCATTGACATGGTGGTGGCTAATAATATTTCCAAGTGGAAGCATGTATATAGAAGACAAAACTGGGCTAAGAACACATCCTTGAGGAATACCACATTCAATACTATGAGTCTCTGATACATTAGCACCCAAGCTGACAGGAAACTGTTTATTAGTTAAATATGATTTAAACCAAGATGAAAACCCATTCTCAGTTTAATTGTATCTATAGTTTTAGTACATGTGCTATACAGACATTGTGTGCTTTTTTCCCTCTGTTCTAACCTTTTGCTAAAAGGCAAATATTTTATGCTCAGTTTCATTAGTTGTACAGCATTTTAAGGCATTGCTGCTGAATGCTGTGCACTGCAGGTCATGAAGGGTACTAATGGATCAAAAGTGGGTGGTAATAAAAGGCCACACACAGAACAACAGAGAAGTCCAGCATGGTAAAACTTAGTAGCACTGCAGTGAAAAATGCTGGAACATTTCAAATATTTCAACACATCCACATGTGCAGCTCAGTTATTAGCTACTTAACAGGTTACATATGTTCTCCCACTACATTTACAGCTGTGGTGAAAAGACGAATCATTCTGGTAACAATTTAGAGGGGCTTTACATCTTGTTTTAAGTATTGCTCTACTCCATCAACGCTGTATTTGACGAAAAGGTTGAGACTGAAATCATCTGGGTATGTGTGTGATAGTACAGTAAATCCTTCAGCAGTGTAACAGGCCATAAATAATCATTAAATTACTTTAAACAGCTCTCGTAGTAGAAACAAAATGTTCTGAAGCCAAATGTTCACACTGCGCTTTTAACAGAGGATTTGTCAGCTCTTGCTCTGCGGCAGATGCTGCGTGTTTGTTCCTGTGAACTCCTCCTTTAATCATTAGCGGACAGTGACGATGTCATTTGAATATGGATATTACACATGTAAACTGCCAATTATGTAAAATATTAAAAATTGCCTGTAATCACAGTGTTGTTTGGCCAACATCCACACCTGCATTCACTTTACATGGAGAGGCAAGCCGGCTGGATTATCAAAATGAAAAATAGACACAGTGCCTATTGGACATGGTTCAAACATACAAGCACCAATTTGACATGTTTTGTTGTTGCTCCACTGAGAATAAATAATGGACAACTAAATCAGCTATATGTCAGGAGCTGGGAAGGTTTCCAAAAAGGGATTACTCTGTATGATTTGATAGAAATATATGGTCTATGATGTTTTATACTTTAATGACATGTATGTAGAAGCATAGACTTAGACCTTTTTTTTTCTTCTCACACACAGTTGCCTGAATGATAAGCCGTGTGGGCTGACATCCAGCCAAGTGAGGGCAAAAAGCTTCATTTGTCCACCTCTGAAATTCCTCATGAGGCCGACGCAAAGCTCTAATTAACTATGTGAAGGAACGCTGGATGTATGTGATGGCACACTCTCTCTCTTTTTCCTTCACACACACACACACACACACACACACACACACACACACACACACGCTATTTCTTCTCTTCTTCTGTCCCTCTCTTCCTCCCTCCGTCTGTCTCTACTTCTCTCACCCGTTCGCTGAGCGCTAGCAGGAAGCTGGCCAAGACTCTTGGAGAGCCAGCATGTGTTTACCACCCTCTGAATGCGCGCCACGTCGAGAGCTCTGCCTGCCATCTGAATGCTCTGTAATATCAATAATTGATGCTCTTGAGGAGTAGTAATTAAATTAGTTAATTATGCCGGTAAAATTACATATAATTATGAGACTGGAGGGTATGTTTAGTAAATTAGTCTCATCCATGCTCACTGTGTGTACTGCTGCCAAATTTTATTCCTTGATGACTAGGTAATTTTGATACCCTCTCTGTTTTTTGGAACAAATGCATCATTTACACACAGACACTGTCTGATCTGGATTAGCTTTTGTCACCAGAGGTATTCCTTTTCATCCTGAAAAAATCTGCTGCTCGATAATAATGTGAGAAGTGCTTTTGGCAGCAATTCAGTGAGTTTTACTGCACAGATTTAAACATTTCATTATGCAAGCCCAACTAATGGACAAATAGTAAAGATGTGTCGACATGTTTACTTTTTGTTTGTACATCTTATATTTACTTTGTAGGCTTAATATTTTTACATGTTAGCGGAAACTTTTTGTTTATAGTAAAAGGGTTAATTCACCCAAATAACAAAAACCCCAACAACTTGTAGATAGTTTTGATTGGTTTGATTTGTCCAAATTATGAGATCCATTTCGGAGCTGCTCCAGTACAATTGATGTGAATAGACCTAATTTGCGGTGCTAAGAGCATTAAAAAATGACAACAACAACTCTTTGAAGAAACAGTTTACTGATAACTCATGCTGTGAATATTTTTCAATTGAGTTTCTGTGTGAAAACAGTGAGGTGTGTGGATTGTCCAGAGAAACAGGGTCAGCCCAGTTCCTTTTGTCATTGTAATATCAGAATTTGATCTGTTAGGTTCTATAAAACAAAAAGACTTGAAGGACTGTATCACTGTACCACTCATATGTGCAGGAAATCAGTAGATATGTTGGGACTTTACAAATTTTAGTGTTTGGCCAGATTTCTGCCCAATCAGCTGTTGTTTGAAATTCTGTTTAAGGGAGGTCAAAGGATTTTTGCCATGTAAGAAATGTTGGTCATTTGTCTGTCAATGTCGTATGACGGCTGAGCAATTCCATGGTTTCTTCTTTTTTCTTCTTCTTGCTTTCAGTTAAAATCAGAATCACATTTAATACCCCCTTCCTCTTTTTGTCAACATTGCTGAGGATGCCATCTTGTTTGAGTAAACTTTATTGGAATTGTCACTGGACAAAATCAGCCGGGGTTCTGGGTTAACGTTCAGGGTGAGCACCCAGGTCTGGACTGGTTGATCAGACCATACCACTACTTGCTAGAGCCCAAGGTGCTGTCTTTATATGTCTTGTTTTGTCTGACCAACAGTCCAACACCCAATGAAAATCACTTTTCTCTCATATAAAAGTCCATTCTCACTGAGGGCGAATATCCGTGTGGATTATTCTCGCAGAAAAATATAAAAATTGATTTCATGGGTTCTTATGGAAGTTTGCACACCGGGGCGGAACTTTCATGCGGTGAAAAAAGTTTCCGCCCAGACTTTGACCCCCCGCGGAATTCGCCGGCGGAACTACACAGCTGGGCCAATGAAATTGTTTGTTTATAGTCGCGTAGACCCAGGAGAGTCCGAAATCCAGTCAGGCAGGACAGTATGGGAGAAAGGTTGATAAACCTCGTTTCACAGCACCCCGTCCTTTTTGATAAAAGACGGGATGATTTTATGAACGATGAATTAAAGGACAACGTCTGGCAGTCCATTGTCCAGCTTGGTGGCTGCAGTGAGAGTGGTAAGTGCTAAAGAAAGTTGATGTTGACGCTTGCTAAACGTTAGCTTGCTAGCTCGTTGCTGCTGCTGCTGCTGCTGCTGCTGCTACTCTCGTCCATGTTCACCCACATCCGTTCACGCAGCGCGGACTTGGAACACAACAACGTGAAATTTCGCACCGCGTCCGTTATGGCCTGTGTGTATGGTTTGAGCACGGAAAAGCGCTGCGCAAATATTATTTGCGTATCGCGGCAGTGAGAATGACCCTTAAAACAGAAAAGCAGCAAATGCCCATATTTAAATAGCCGGAACCAAAGAATGCTTGCCTTTTAAGCTTATAAAAAAAGATAAATCAACTGATCATAAGAACTCTAGTTGAATGAATGGTATCCATTAGAGAGTACAGTTTTTCACAGCCACTGAATTCATGGATATATTTCAAATAATTAGTGCATGGAAAATTGACCTTAAGTTGCTTTTAAGTGCCTTAACAGGACATAGGAGGCACCTGGACAAAATAATAACAACCAATAAACCCAGTCTCACACAGACATACTCTCAGAAAACAAAACCCATCTCAGCCATCTTTCTGTAAAAAATTCCACTAAATATGGCTGTGCGCAGGGTGGAGGCTCTGTGTCAATAATGCCCGTGAACGCCTGCAGGCTGTGGACCAACTCTCTCTTGTTTGACTTTGTGCTATGGAGGGAGGCTTATCTGTAAGCCCTGTCATATTGCAGCATCACATTTCCCCCAAGATCTCATAAACAGCTTGTCGTGCTCCTACTTGTGAAATAGACGGCATATTGTCTAGACCAGGCTGAATGCACAGACAAATAGCAAAGCTTAAAAACACTGTGTACTGTAGTTAATGAGATTAAACTCACTGCCAAGGAAGTTTTCCCCCATTAATTGCCTTTGGATTACACAAGGAAAACAATTGCACCACATCATCTCAGAGTCATGCACACAAGTTTCCATAAGCATGATCTGTGGTACTAACAATAGGCCTATATGTCATTTTAAAGTGACAGTTGATGTTATTGATTGTGAGCTAATATTAAATGGGTGTTGGAGTTTTCAGAAGTGCCAGAGCTGTAGATCCTAAAAGCAGAAGGTATGCAAATGCTCACACATCAACACACAGAAAGCATATTAATGACTGGCAGGAGTCCTGGTCCACTCGGCCCTCCTGTGGCATGATGGGAAGGCTGTGGAGGCTGTCAGGCCTAAGAGGCTGTCAGTGTCTAACTTTGCCTCAGGCTGGATCCTTTTAATTTATGTTGGTAAAGAATTGCAAAGTGCTGCCATCTCTCCAGAGATGCCCTGGCAAGTTAATTGCATTCTTCCACTTGTAACCGACTCAAACACTTACAATCACACACATGCATGCACACACACATAAAGAAGTACACTCTTTTCCTCCGGGATGATAAACACTTTTTGATTTATTCAGTTAAAAAGTGTCTTCCCTGAGACAGCCAAGTTCACAGACTCAAACAGACATTCGAGCTGGAGAACAGATTCAGTCTGACTGCAGAGAAACCATCACCCAAACACTCACACATGCTGTCATATGTGTCCTGACAGGCAGAATGACTGGCTGATTGAGCAATGAGAAAACAACTGACACAGAAATCCTTCTGTCTACCTCCTTCTCTCATCCCACCTTCCACCCCCATGTCTCTCTGTGAGGATCCTCCTGATGTTCATTTTGGGTGACTGAGATGTGACCTTACTCATCAGATGTGGCACAGATAGAGGTCGATGACAGAGTTGAGGAAGAACAAACATGTTTGTGAAAAAACAACAACAGTTTTACAGTTTTATTCCCTCCTTGGCACGTTCTTCTCTCACTGTTAGTACTGATTTTTGTACTCGACATGAAAGCAAACCAAACAATCACAGCTATGTTCATACAAACATGTATATGACAGACTTAGCTCTAAAAATGATATGCATGTTTTAAAATTTCTTCAACTCTAATGCTGTTTACACTTTTGTTATGTCTGTCTTTTTATTCATTTAACGTTCCTTTCCCAACGTTCCTTTGCGTTTCCTTTCCCCGTTCCTTTGCACAAAAAAACCCTAACATGTGGCTTTTGTATTTAATGGGAAAGGTTACAATTGGCATTCATTAAAGGGACAAATGACTCTGCAGTAGTCACAGGAGTTTATCGGCTCCAGCTCCAATTGGTTGGCCTCTATTGGCAATTATGGAAATACAACATTGGGGTGGAGGCGCTAATTTTATAGCCACTTTGCTGCCGTGATGCATTGTCAGACTGCCATAAAATACTATCTGTCACTGTCCAAGCAGTGCTTAAACATAGTTTCAAATCTAGACTGCACTGAGTTTAACAGAGACTGAATAAGTAACATATATATATATATATATATATATATATATATATATATATATATATGTATATATAAAAACATTTTCAATGACCTCCATGTTGCTTTCTACTGTTTACTAATATGTTTTCCAGCCCCTTTGTGATGTTGAATGTAACACACCAGTAAAACAACACAGAAAGGTATACTTGTCTACTGGCAATAGGAAAGCAGTCTAACACTTATTTTTAACAGGTTTTCTCATGTTTAAAACACCTGTATACACACGCTAGCTTTGGTGGAAAAGGGTAAAAAAGATTGACTTTACAGTTCTATAATGAACGGTCATCAGCTGCATTGTCTTTGCATGTTTGTATGTCTCATTATTTATTGCTAAACAGTGATCATGCTAAGGTAGTGCCTGTGTGTTCAAAGCCTTATGTATCTTATTCCTCTGTTTTATAGAGCTCCTTCCAGGTCTATGGCAGTAATGGTAGCTCCATTGGCTACCACTGAGCACAGTATCGTCAAGACCTCTGTATGTGTGTGTTTAAGGAACCATAGAGAGTTTTTTTTTTTTAATAATTGAAAATATAGCTAAAGCAGATATTTGACAACCTCTTCTTTTCCTTTGTGTGCTGTTTTTTCCCCTGCACCCAACTGCCATTTCAAGTGCACCCTATCCACCATTTTCACAAATAAAAAGTAAGTAAGTAAGTATGTAAAGGCTCATATACAGGTTAGTATTTTGTTTTTCCAGCAGTTAACCGAACAGATAAAACATGAAAAATGCAAATAATTTTACAAAAAGTAAAAACTTAATCATTAATGTCAGTTCAAAGTTTTCTGTGCTTTGTGGAGGGGCTTAGATTCATGTCCTTCCTCTTTCTAAAACTGTCTCTACCACTGCCTCAAATGTTGTCCAGAAGCTATTAAAAACACGCTAATGAGCCACACTGTTGCACTGTTGGACAGGCTCCTTCAATGTCATGATCACACACACACTGAAGGTTTATTTGAATTATCCCACATACACCATCCTGCTGCTGGAAATACTGATGAGAGCACCAAATGTGTATTAATCCACAGCTGAAAATAGTCCCGTACAAATGCTTTATTTCCTTCTGTTTGAGTAGCATTTGCTATAAACTACAGTGCCCAGCTGCTTTTGGAAATTACTGTGCATTGTTGGTTTTAGTTTTTACAGTATTTTTTGACAAGAAGAAAAATTTTGAATACCATCAGTGTTATCCTTTCATAAGTCAGTGGTCCTGCTCCATCCTCAGCAGTGTCAATCTTTCCTACATACTTGAAGTGAATGACAGCTCTGTCTAATTTGGAAAAAGAAAAAGACAATAGACTCCTTATTAAAGCAAGATGATGTTGCTGGCTTTAATAAATATTCTAAGCTTTATAAGCCCTGGTAATTATTCAAAATTGTCCAATAAAAGTCATGACATGCGGCTTAAATGCTTACATATTACGTTTATTAGATCCCTCTCGCTGTGATGCCCTGTTTATACATGTGTGTGTACAACTGTGTGTGTTTATGTGTGGTGCATACATTAAAAATGAGCACATGTTCAGCCTGTGCACATGCCTGCTGCTCACACATGTGTAATAATGTGCACGGATGTGCGTCGGCTACGACTGTCGCTATCGTTTTATGAAGACCCTCCCCTCACGAACGACGGCAAACATTAAATAACCCCCTTAATTACATCCCATAATCCTCTCATGATTCACCCTCATGGATCCTATTATGAGGCTTGATGTTGGCTGTGGAAAACCTTACATCTCCAATTTTGCCATTATATGTTCTAATTTTTATCATCAAGGGTGGCATTGTAAGACGAACTATTGATCATAAAATCAAAATGTCAAAATACATCAGTTAGAGTAAAAAAAAAAACAAGCAGCTTTCTTGTTTCATGATAGGTTTGCATTTTACTGCATGACAATATAAATCATGACTCCCTGCTAGAGCTAAAATACAGACACTCTGATCTTTGATGATACTTCACATCGGCCTCATCAAATGAGGATCATTCAACTTTTGCATACAGTTACAGCATCTCACCAAAAGGAATGTTTGGAAAAAATATGTCTCATTATTGCGGGACAGATGCACTCTGTGTTTGCAAATCCTGTGTGTGTGTGTGTGTGTGTGTGTGTGTCTGTGTCTGTGTCTGTGTCTGTGTGTCTGTGTGTGTGTAGGGGTTAGCAGTCACTCCTTGTGTGTGATTGAGGGCAAGGGCTGATGGAGTGTTAAGGGGGTTGAGTCCATCTTTACCACTGTGTCCTGCTACCACAGCTGTCACTGTTTGTTTGTAGTGCCTGGTGAGAGGTGGAGAGGTGTGCGTTGGAGTGTGTGTGTGTGCGAAGAAAAGTGAGAGTAGAGGGAGCCAAATAGAAAAGAGACAGAGTAATGGTACCAAACCAAAATCCTGTCAATTTGTCAGAAGTGCCACCATGTTCTTCTCCAGCCAAGCAAAGAGCCATCGTGAGCCGATAGACTGGCCTGTCATAAATTTACGTGATGTGTGTGTGTGTGTGTGTGTGTGTGTGTGTGTGTGTGTGTGTGTGTGTGTGTGTTTTCCACGGAGACAGTTGACAGAAACACAGCTGACAGACGATGAAAAGAAACATTACTCTCAGTAAAAAATGGAGGTCGCCCTGCAGAGGACAGGAGAGCTACTTTAGCACAGTTAACCTGCAGAGAGAGGGAGAGAAAACACACACAAGAGTAAAATGTAATCTGGAATGTTCAGGCAGGCATCCAAGGATGTGGGTTTCATTTTAGCATATGTCGTGGGCATATATAATTCAGGGAGTTTGGGGGTTCCTCCCTCCAAAAAAATCTGAGTGCCAAATTTCCTAGATTCTGGTGAATTTTTCTGCTTCAGTTTATGGTGGAAATGTCCTTGTACCTGCTGCTTCAGCTTTGCATAGTTGCTTCATCTTCGCTTGGTTCTATGGTAGATTGCATTGATTGTCGCAGCTATATAAAGTCCTCTGCTACTTGCATGTTTTTATTGGACGGGACAAATGTATGGTGTTTTAAGTATTGAGGGGAGCATGTCCCTTGCCTCCCCCCAGAATCTACACCTTTGCAGGAATCAGTGCACACAGCGAATTCCTGTCTTTGTGTCAAGACTGATGATGATGAAAGGAAATTAGTTCAAAGGAATTTGGGGAGAAATCTGAGTGAATAAAAAAAGAGTTTGTGTGTGGAAAAAGACAAAGGAGAAAACGAAAAGCACAGTCACATCAGTTCACAGAGAAAAATAGGATACACTGGGATTCAAGATTTTATCAAGGGCAATGATGCAAAGTGAAGCAATACATCAAAAGCAGGAAAAGAAGGAGAAGTATCCAAGAGAGGCTCTTGAACGCTGTAGATTTACTCATTGCAAAGAAAAACCAGCACTTCACTGAGAAAAAGGACAGGGAAACACCAGCATTTAAAGAAGTTACACTTTCATGAAGTCTGATGATGAAATGTGGAGTAATATGCTTTTGAAAAAGGTGAAAATGGACGAGGTCATTACCGACCACTGAGAACTGAGCTGAATGGTTTGAGAGGAGTGAAGATAAATGGCTGAATGCTTTTAAACTTAAGTATTTTGCACTGAAAGTAGAAAACCTAACATTTTAACATTCATTTATAAGACTTTTTTGTGAGGACTCATACAGGAACTAGCAGAAAGACAAAGAAAAGATCACATACATGTGTAATGCAAAGCTTTAAGGTGCTATGACATCAAAGATGATGAAAAAAACCCTCTGTTATTTATCCAACTTATACAAGTATAAAACCCCAACAGATAAATATCAAGCATTGCTTCATTTATTTGAGACAGACAGAAGCTGTGTGGAATGAGGCAAATTTTAGAAAATGAAACGTCCAAATATTGCCCTCTGAGAAAGAGTTATGAGCTGGGAGATGTGCTAATGTTGCATTACCTAAAATCATTTAAATTAATGTGCCATGAAATAGGTCATTAATGAGGATGCATGGGCCATACATGGAGACAGACAGATGAGGAGGATGCTGCTGCTGCCATCATATAGCAGACATCATTACACCAGACCAGACACAGCCACAGTAATAACTTCAAGAGAAGAAGAACTGCATGAGGAAGGTGGAAAATATAATCTTATTCAGCGTCTTTGGTACCTCTGATTTACATTCATATCTATATTCATCTATATATATATTGTACATGCATATATATAAAGGCAGTCTGCAAATTCATTTTTTATACAGCACCATTGGATACATTTTAATACAAAAAATGCAATTATTTATTTATGTATGTATTTATTTCTAATTAATTATTTTAAAATGTCATTAAAGGTGGATTAGTTATATCTTTGGACCATTTTCTAAACCTCATGAAGTGGTGAAAATGCTAACTTTTACTTGACACATGGCCTCACCCTCTATTTTATAATAATAATATAATAGCATTATTTGTATAGCACAGTTCACACAGCAAGTGCAACTCAAAGTGCTTTACATAATAAAATTAGAAAATACACATAAAAGACAGTATAAGATAAAGTGAATAAAATTTAAATACATGATCACACACTCACACATACACATACACACACACGCGCGCGCACACACACAGACACACACACACACACACACACACACACACACACACACAAAATATAAGTTATGTTTGATACCAGTTAGTTAAATTAAAGCTACAACAATGCAAGTCTAAAAAGATAGGTTTTAAGATTTTGTTTGAAGCACTGAATCTGACGTCCTTTTACGTTGCCATGATACGCAGCTGGTTGCCATTATTGTTGAAAGCCACCCAGTGGCATCAGGGGGAAATGCGGCAGGAAAACAACAAAAGGTAAGGGGGCAGAAGTCAAAGTAGAGCGGGCTGAAGGGGTGGTGTATGGGTCCACCAACCACCGACTTTCACCCAGGAGGCCAGTGTTCACTTCCCATATTAAAAAAAAAAAAAGCCAAACTCAGTTATTTTCCCTAAATCCACCCAAATACGTTTGTTGATGAAAAAAAACATCAGTTTGCTGTGTTATACCAACGTAGTGCATTTATTTTGAAAGAGACTGTATGCAAACTGTACATTTCCTGTGAAAATGGAAGTGTATTTTGAAAACAGACAATGCATGTAACAGGCTGAAATTGACCAACGCACCCAGGGTACCTTGCACGTCATATGTCGACGTGGAAAGTCTGTGACCAAACGTCAATATGTGTCAAAGTCAGAGTGAAAATGTGTTGCCTCACGATGACAAAGTCAGCCCATATACCGCGTCAGTTTAGAAATGCTGATATGATATGTATGAAATGTAAATGTAGCATATTGGTGGTTTACATAAATGTACAATGCCAACATTCACTTCTGGCGGCTTGGGCTGAGGTAAGGCTGATAAAAATCTGCCTGTGACAGGTTTTATTTTAGCATACAAACATAATAGTCATCCACATACATGTATATTCAACATATAAATATTTTTACATGAAACATATTTACCAGCACAGTGAAATGATGAGCTGCTTTTCACTGATGTGTTTCATTATATTTTCTCATCTTTTTATGGGGAAATAACTCTGTAAGACCCTGAAGAGATCATTAACACTGCTGTTTGCCAAGGTGACAGATGTAGCTTTTCAACAAATGTTCAAATATGTCTCCACAACTACATTCACACAGTAATTACTTACAAAATCCAACATTAAGCAGTTAGACCTACTTTAATTGGGTGACATCTTTGTTTTTGTGTCTGAAATATTTGGGTTTTTGGTAGAATTTGCATATTTGTTTAAATGCCCCAGCCTAAAACTGCAGTATAACTGCCCAAACACCAATCTGCTGCCAGGTGAATAATGGAAGTCCAGGAAATATCTCCTGGTTATAAAATGTTGTTTACTTCACTAGCCACCCTGCAGTGTGTTCTGCAATCACCCGAATTACCAATTTCCGTCTGTTTTCAGCACGTACAGTGAACCATGAATGTGTTCTTTCTTCCTCCTGGCCTTCCTGTGGAGCCAGCATTAAAGTTTACCAGTTAAACGCCCTCCTTTTGCTGCTGTCCAACCAGTGTTTTGTGGTGAGTAATCACCTTCCCACCTGCAGACGGGCTCGCCGTATGGAAAGGGAGTGTGAGTGTGTGTGTGTTTGTTCTCTGCCTGCATACTTGTGTGTGTTTGTGTTTGATTTATGAGTACAAATCTCAAAATGGGTTCTGTTTTTCTACCTCACAGGCTGCCTGTTGCCCACGCTGCTCCACTCAGAGTCTTTAACCCAGATGCCCAGCAGTTGTCATGCTGTAGGAACATAAAGGTTTTTTGTGGTAATAAAATATTGACTGAACACAACATGCTGCTGTAAGCATGATACACTGGTGACTTACATTAGAGGCATATTCAGTTATATAAAATGATATTTAGTACAGTCAAATGTAACCACATACGCTTGTTATTATGATGATATAACAATATGAAATATCATACCACCTCATCAAATGCTTCATTCAACCATATGCACTGCTCTATATGGCCAAAAATATACCTCAGACCAGTTGCCAGTAGAAAATGTTGGCATTGCGTGTTCCTGCAAACCACGAATACATTACATTTGCTCGTTTCATATGTATCATATTCACATTTCTTAAGTGATATAATATATGAGCTGTTGTCATCAGGAGATAGAGGGGATGGTAGATGTCATGTCACCAAGGTGAGAAGCCTGCCAAGCTGCAGACCGCTGTACGAGACCAACAAACAACAAAACTGGTTGCAATTTAGTAAGATATTGCTGTGTATTAGGCAGCCTTTTGAGAGGGTGAGTGTTTTCTAGCGACCAGTTGCTGTTTTTCCAGCTTTTCATTAGACTCAAATTAGTGGCGTTATGTAGTGACCTGTCACTGTTTTTTCAGCAACTTATTAAACTCTAATCATGGGTGTTTTGTAATGAGCCATTTGCTGTTCTTCCACTGGCTTTTTAGGCCCCAGTTGTGGGTGTTTTGTATAAATCCATCGCTGTTTTTCTAGCAACTTAGACTCTAATCGTGGGTGTTTTGTAGCAACCTATCACTGTTTTTTCAGTGGCTTTTTAGGCTCCAGTTGTAGGCCTTTAGTAGCGACCCATCACAGCTTTTCTATTGACTTAGACTCTGATCGTGGATGTTTTGTAGCAACCCGTTGCTGTTTTTCCAGCGGTTTATTAGGCTCTAATTGTGGGTGTTTTGTAGCAACCTGTCACTGTTTTTTCAGCGGCTTTTTAGGCTCCAGTTGTAGGCCTTCAGTAGCGACCCATCACAGCTTTTCTAGTGACTTAGACTCTGATTGTGGGTGTTTTGTAGCAACCTGTCACTGTTTTTTCAGCGGCTTTTTAGGCTCCAGTTGTAGGCCTTCAGTAGCGACCCATCACAGCTTTTCTAGTGACTTAGACTCTGATTGTGGATGTTTTGTAGCAACCCGTTGCTGTTTTTCCAGCGGCTTATTAGGCTCTAATTGTGGGTGTTTTGTAGCAACTTGTCACTGTTTCAGCAGCTTTTTAAGCTGCTAAAAACACATAACGTGGGTGATTTTTGCATATCAACACTGTTTCCAGTGGCTCTTTAGGTACCAGTCATGGATGTTTTGCACTGACCTGTTGCTGTTTTTTCCAGTGAGGATAGTGTGACATTGCTGTGTTTCCTGCCAGCATAGTGGCATGAAAAGCAACTGTTTATACTGAGACATAACTACTTTCAAGCAGGGATTGTGCCCTATAAATTGAGTATTTTAAACCAAAACATGATCTTTTCCTAACCATAACCATAAAGTGTTTTAGTGCCTAAATCTAACCACACGTTGTCCACAGTGTTGTACATTGGAGTGTAAATGTATCCGCTATATAATGCACTAATGTAATGTGTCTGTAGTTTGCAGAAACATATTTTGCCAACATTTTTCTGGCAGCAGGGTTGCCAACCTTACATCACATTGTGCAAAAATCCAACTCCATAATGAAATAGTTTTCCCAGTTCCCCACCTTTGGGATGAACTGGAACGCCAACTGCAAGCCAGGCTTTACCACCCAACATCAGTGGCTGACCTCACTTGTGCTCTTGTGTCTGAATAAGAGAAAATCGCTGCAGTCAGGTTCCAACATTTGATGGAAAGTCCAAAAGCAGAAGAGTAGAGACTGTTAGATTGCTCAGGGGTTTGAAATGAAAATGAGATGTTCAACAATCAGGCACTGTGTTGTATAGGTGTAATGTTCAGGTGTCTGCATATTTTTGGCCTTATTGTTTATCTTTTTTCATCAAAATATTGTAAGAGAGATAAAAAAAAAATCATGGCTGTTTAAAAGTTTAAGTACAGACTTTGAAATACATACTGTAATTTTCTAAAACTCTGGCAGCATAATTAGGACTTTAAATTAATAAATGTCTAATTCTCATTCATGTGTGAAATTGATTTTAAAATAGTGAAACTAAGAATATAAATGAAGAAAAAAAATATGGGATTGGAATCTCTCATGTGCACACAATGCCATGTCTCTAATGTAATATGCTGCATATCAAAACTGCTGACTGGCTGGAACTAATGATCATTTTCATCACTGGTGAATTTCCAGATTATTTTTTTCAATTCATTTATTCATCCTTTAGTCACAAAATAGTAAAAAATGACCATCACAGCTTTGAAAAGCCCAATGTGATGTCTTCAAATCACTGATTTTGTCACATATCAAAAGCTAGTGGTACTCAGTTCACAATGATATTAAATAGAAAAGCAACAAAGTCTCACAATTGAGAGGATGGAACCAGCTAATATTGTCTATTGAAAAATGTTAGTAGAGTCAATTAATTTTTTGTAAGGGGACCAGTTAATTAATAGACAGAATGGCTGTGAATCCAAAAGAAAACTAGCTGCTAACTGACCGCTCCGGGTTAAGCCAAAGGAACACACAGACACACATAATGCCAAAGTTGAATAAACACTCTTTTCACTGAAGAAGAGGTGTCTGTGATGACAGGACAAGTGATTTGTTGCCGTAGAAGGTGTCAGTAGAGAGTGTCACCCAACAGGAAGTGTAAATAAGACACACATCTGTGAGAACAATCATCATTGTCATCTGCCACTGAGGATATAATATATTTTCCAACACTCTCACTATTGTGTCACCAGTGACGGCAGTGGTTGAGTAAATAAAAAAAGAACTCTTTCTTGTTTTAAAGCTCTTAAGTTGTACACAGACTGATTTCATAGTTTACACCACAGTGACATGTTTGCGACAATCCCTCTTCCAACATGACAACACGTTTGACAAAATCCTATTTGTAGTGCTACACGTTGCAGATGGCGAGGGGGACGGTGATGGGGAATTTATTCTCTCTGGATGGATCTGACAAATTTCTAACAGTTGTGGCTTCTTTTCTCGTGCTTTATGAAAAAAAGCGTATTTTTAGGTGGGACACAACATGCCACGACTGACATGACACCCCTGTCAACTGATACTCTGAAAGCTGATGACAACACTCGTCGAGTTTTAATTAACATCAAGCTAAGCTACTCAGTGAGAATGTCATCACAAGCTTTGTCCTTCAATTATCATATGAAGCACATGTGAATATGCCCCTTTACAGCGCTTATTCAGACATGATATTGATATATGATAGCCAGGGCTGGCCCTCCTCATTAAACAATATAAGCAGTTGCTTAAGGCCCCCTGGTCTCTGGGCACTAGAAAAAGATTTTTTTTAATGAACAATAGACAATAATGAAATAAAAAAGTAAAGTTCCCTAAAAAAACATAACAACATTTTCTGCTATTTTTGCCAACAAATAGAGGCAAAACAATAAGCTTAGCGATGGACAAATGGACAATTTAGGTGCCGTACACGTGCCGTGTTTTTTGCACCCTCAAACTCATTGTTTTTGTGGTAGATACTCAGCAGGTGTGTTCAAAAGCCAGAGCGAAACCGTTGCAGTGCGCATGCATTCCCGAGCACCCCTTTTTTTAGGGCATGACAGCTGCGCCCTGAGATAAAGAGACTTCGACTATTGGAGTGCAGCAGCGTGGACCATCATGTGACAGGAAAAAAAACTATCGCAGCTGACAGACATCTTTTCCTCTATACATAAATATCAATCTGTGATAAATGTGAAGAAGAAGTTGATCATTTTAATGCAGGGCTGCCAGAACTTTACATCTGTCCCATGGACAATAGGCCTACACACGCTTAGAAGATGATTAGCTCTGCTCTCAGGATTTCAGGTAAATATGCTATAACAAGTCCATACCCATTGAGTGCACAGTTGCCCACATACAGTTTCACATGACATTGACTTAAAAGCGGGGCGCACTGGTAGAATGACAGAATGACTGACTGACAGAATGACACACTGACAGTTTCCGTGATTATGTACAGCATACCATACGATGACTTAGTCATACCAAAAATTAGAAAAAACAAACAAACACTGGGCCACAGGGGGAGCCACAGTGATCGGTCGCATTTGAGCCATTTTTAAGCATTTTTCTGTTGTTATAGCGCCACCCAGTTGCCAATTAGAGTTAAATTTCTCCAGTCACCTTGAGGCATGCTGTTCTATATATCTGCCAAGTTTAGTAAAAATCTATATGGCGGTTAGGCCTAAATAAGAAATTAGCTCTCTAGCGCCCCCATTTTGTTTGATGGGGTCAATAATGGAGGGGTCCCCTCAGATTATGTGTGGCCATATGCCTACAAAGTTGTGTGGTGATTGGTGAAACCCTTGAGATGTTATACACCTTTATGTGATGAGCCACACCCTCTGCAATATTCATTGCCTTATAGAAGCTCAGTTTTAGTAAGTTTTCCAACTTATGCCAAGAGGGAACTTTAGATATTGGTCCCTAGATTATGTTCACAGAGTTTCATGCAGATCGGTCAAACTTCCTAGGAAGAGATCGATTTTAAGTGTTTTTCAAAAAATTCAAAATGGCGGAAAATCTATAAACCAGAAGTTATGGGTTCTTGAGGCAAATTTGTTCTTCTTGAGGAGAGGCATCTCTGTGCAAAGTTTCATGTCTCTATGACATACGGGGCATGAGATATGCCCATTCAAAGTTTGCAATTTCAATCAGTTGCCATAGCGCCCCCCTTTGGCCAATTGATGTAACATTGCTTCATTCGCATCCTCCCATGACCCTCTACCACTGTGCCAAATTTCACATGGATTGAGCAAGTCAGTGAGGAGAAAAACGTGGAACTGACACACACACACCCACAGACAGAGTTTTCATCATTATATAGTAAGATATGGTGCTTGTTAAGGTTGCTTAGCAACCTCAAATGCAACCTGCCACCAAAATCTTGAAAGTTGACACAGAAAAGGCACAAGAGTAGCACCCAGTGTCTGACCTCACATTTTTCAGGTGACTAAAGACGCAGCATGTGTACAGCCCCTTTGGTAGGCCAAAAACTGTTTCATACCGAGCAAGGTTTGTTGTCTGAAAAATACAAACAAAAATTCCAAAAAACAGATTTTGTGTGATGCACAACTGTTCAGAACATCTGTGCAGGTGGAAGAAATATTTGCACAGACCTGGATATTGGATTTCCGCCTGCGAAAATATATTTGACCAATTAAATCCTTTGTTCCAACTGATGTCATACCTCCAGGTCAAAGCTAGCTTACTGCCAAAACGGGAGACATTTTATCAGTTTGGTTTCTGCTTCAGCTAATACAGTGAAGAGGCTTATGTTGCCGATATGCACTTGCTAATATGAAATGTTGTTCACAGAATGTGATGAACATAGCACACAGCTTATTACTATGAAGATTGATGTCATCGGACCACGGCCTACTTAATCTTAATCAAAGGTCCCTTTTCCACCAACATTTCCAGGAACTTTTATTACCAGGAATTTATTTACTTGGGTAAAAGAATTCCTGGTCATCTGTGTGGTTTGCGTTTCCATTGCACGTCAAAGTTCTGGAAACTTTATTCAAATTAGCGTGATGACGGAGATGATTTGGCATGTGTCCTGTATTTGGCTCCGCCAGCTTGGCTGGTTACATGCTGGTAGAGAGCAGGGGCTGTTTGTCTCAGCCAGCAGCTAAGTTTAAAAGTATATTAAGATAAGTGTCAAACTAAGTTAGTCTACATACAGACAGCTATCATTTGAGCTTATTAGCATCAATTCGCTATCAGCTGAACTAGCGTGCTGTTCTTGTGTAAGACATAACGTTAGTGTCGGTGGATGAGAGACTGTGGACGGAGCATATTGAATATCACTGTCTACATGTTTACATGTTCAGGTTTGCTGAACACATGTATTGTATTAAAGCATTGGCTTCTTACTCGCTAAGGGTTAATGTCACTCACAGTAATGAGTGTAGCTGCCGTCAGCTCGAGTAATTTTTGAGTTATCTTCACTTTGTTTCCACTGCATCCGCTCGGCTGTTCACCGTCAGTGTGTGTATGTGTGTGTATGTGGAGGAGTTCAGCACCAGCACAGAGCGCAGAGGAGAACCGATACCGTTAGCATCAATACCATGGTCTTTGATAATTTAGCCCTGGGGCTAATTTAGTACTGGGTTTCGGTACCCATCCTTAATCAAAACACAAACAAAGTGAAGCTTGGAGAAATTAAATAAAGTTTGCAGCGGCTGCCCGGGCCAGGAAGTGTGGGATGCTGCAAGTGTGTGTTCCACCAATCAGCGTTCTTCCGCCCTGCCCTTAAAGAATTCCAGGTAATCTGAAAAGTCCTACCCCCCTACTAGGTACTTTTTTCAGGGAAAGTTTGGGGTTGAGGGAAAGTTTTTTCCCCGGGTAATTTTGGTGGAAACGTGCAGAGGTTTTTCAAAATCATGGGTAAATGAAAAACGTTCCTGTGGTAGAAAAGGGGCTATACAGTCCTTCTTACCTGGTTGGCTTCATGCAGCAAACTGTATATTTGCTGCGCTCTATTTAAAGATAGTGTAGCTGCTGATGGGTCCCACTTTAGTCTTGACATACTTATTTGTAGGTCATTTGTGCTTAAACTAATATTTACAATATACAAGTTGTTTTAGTGACATGTGAAGTGGCAACATATAATATTGAAGGGGGCCCCAACCAAATCCAGGGTAGGGCCTCTTAAAGTCTAGGGCCGGCCCTGAAGAAAGCATATTATCAACCAAAATGAAGAGTATAAAGTAGGATTTCTTAAATTTTTTTAATAAAACTTTGGGATTTGCTTGTCAGCTCAGATTTTTTTTTAAAACTTTATTGTGCAATATGAGCCATTATGCAATGTAATAACCACATAAATCACTTATCTGTTTGTAGCATGCTGTGTTAAAAATGAACAAACCGCTTCATTGTCAGAGATTCTTTAACAGCTCTAATTACATCAAGCTATCACACGTGCATTGTTGGCAA